AATGTTTTGTTATAATATAAATACATATATATAAATATAAATAACCATATCGAGTTAAGGAACTGTGATCAGCTTAACTTACAAATAAAATACATTCATAATTACCTATTCGTATAGTAGTTTAATTAATTTTTTTTTCTTTTTACATAAGTAAGTATATCAAGTACAATCAGCAAGTTCTTATTCAAATTATGTTCAATCACTGATCATCAATTATTTTGTCATTATCGTCCATAATTTTATTCACTCGAGTTGTGATTGATTTACGTCACCATTATCGTTAGTTTGAGTACCACTAGCATTATTGTCATCATCTAGTACCTTCCATTGCCCTTCCACTTGTTTTAGATGTACGACGTTCCGTCTGATTTGCTGACCAGTTTCATCGTTCCGAAGAATTACGTCCCCTCCTTTGTTCGCTTCGACGGTATGTGTTTCGGGTTCATAGTTTAAGCTCAGCTTGTTTTGTTTAGTCATGTTCTTGACGTATACTTTATCTCCGACTTCCAATTCACAGTTAGTAGCCCCTCTCTTCCTATCCGCATATTCCTTCCCTTTTTCCTTTAGTTCTTTATCTCTATCCCTCATTTCAAGATCCTCTGAGAGATGCGTTATGTCTTGGAGCATAGGCAGTTTGTCTCGAAATTGCCGTCGAAAGAACAGTTCTGCAGGTGTTTTTCCTGTAACTGTGTGAGGTGTACTATTGTACATCACCATGTACTCCTGGAGACCCTCCTTCCAGTTCTTTTTCTCTACTTGAGAGATCTTGAGGCATTTTAGAATGTCCCTATTCTGGCGCTCCACTTCTCCGTTTTGTTGTGGCCAGTAGGGAATGGTATTGTAGAATCGTATGTTCCTCTCTGCGCAGAAGCTCTTAAAGTCTTCGCTGGAAAATTGTCTACCATTATCTGATGTGAGGGAGACTGGATTGCCAAGTCTGCTAAAAATTTCATTAAGCATTTCAATTATTTCAGAGCTTGTTATGGTTCTGCGTGTTTTCACTTCTTTATATATGGTATAATAATCCACGACTACCAGGATATAGTCTCCACTAGGTAATGGGCCCATGAGGTCGATTGCTATGTCAATCCACGGTTCGGAAGGTAAATCTCTTCTTTTTAATGGGTTTGGGGCGCTGGGAGCAGAGACCAGGATGCATCCTTTACAGGCTTTGCATATGTTTTCAGCATCTTTGTTGCACTTAGGCCACCATACTTTGGTCCTTAATCTGCTCTTCATCGCGAATATCCCCGGGTGGCCTTCGTGCGCAGCTTCCAGAACTCTTCTGCGTAACTTAGTTGGGATTACAATTTTCGTCCCCCTGAGGAGAATATCGCAATGAAAGCATAATTCATCCTGAAAAAGTTTATAGGTTTTTACCGTTTCCTCCCAGTTTCCGTTGTAAAGACCCTCTCTAACCTTCTGTATCTCTGCATCTCCAAGAGAACTCTCAGTGATCTCTTGTAATGGAATGGCTACTGGTCGTGCCAATTCGGTAATCGCTTGAACATGGTCTTCAAGTAATGTCGTCGGGTTTGTTGCCACTTTACAGAGTCTCAATAGTGGATCGGCTATATTGGTCTTCCCCGGACTATATTTCACCTTGAAATTGTAGGATTGCAACCTTAATATCCACCTTTCAATGCGAGCGCATGGTTTAGCTTTCGGGCCAAATATCACCTCCAAGGGCTTATGATCCGTTACTAGATCGAACATCTTACCGTACAGGAATATGTTGAAATGTTCGACTGCCCAAAACAGGGCTAAGGCCTCCTTCTCCGTTTGGCAGTAACGACGCTCACAGCTGCTGAGGGTTTTATTTCCAAATGCAATTATTCTCGGCCCATTCTTGTTGATTTGCACCAACACTGCACCCAGACCCACTGGGCTTGCATCTGCAATCACCACCGTCTTATCATGAGGATTGTAGTAACCTAAATTTGGTACCTTCATAAGTGCTGCCTTGAGATCGTTAATGCCCAAAAGAAGGCATTCCCCCCAGTCATCTTGAATGACTGTGTTTCTTCCCGTTCTTTGCCGTAGCAGTTGCTTAAGGGGTTCTGTTATCGTTGCTAAGTGGGGGATCCATTTCCCACGTAATTCACTAAACCCATAAAACTCTGCAGTTCAGCGATATTCGTCGGGGCTCTGAATCCCTTTATAGCCAAGATATACTTGTCTAGTGGTTTGACTCCCAGTTCTGATAGTTCATGCCCTAGGAAGTGGACTTTCTTCATTCTGTAAATGCATTTGTCTTCCCTCAACATCATGTTATTTTCCTCTAACACTGCCAAAACTTTTTTAAGCCTTAAGTCGTGTTCTAATAAGTCTTTCCCAAATATCAAGATGTCATCTATGAAGTTGATGACTCCTTCGCAACCTAAAAGGATTCGTTCCAGTGTTTTTTGGAAAATCTCTGGCGCACACGAGATACCAAACATCATTCTTTTGTATCGATACAATCCTTTGCTGGTAATGAAGGTCGTGATATGCCTTGGGTCTGTCTGAAGTTCGATATGATGAAATGCATCTCGTATGTCTAGCTTACTAAAGATTTTGGCTTCTCGAACTTTAGGCAACAGTTCTTCTATCGTTGGCAGTGGGTGGTTTTCACGTTGTATGGCCGTATTTGCTCGGCGCATATCCACACATAATCGGATGTCACCCCCGTTTTTTAGCACAGGGACTATAGGCGAAATCCAGTTAGAAGGACCTTTCACGACTTCTATGATGTCCCTTTCTAGTAATTCTTTCAGTTTATTCTCTACTTTTTCTTCAAGTGGGATGGGAATTCTCCGATACGGCTGAGCAACGGGCTTCACTGAATCGTCAATCGGAATGGTAACTAAAACGCCCTTTTAACTCCGCCGTTGCCGGTCCCAAGCCCGGATGAGAAAGGAGGAGGGGACGAATCCGCCGGAGAGAGTGGGTGTATCCGGTGGACTAACACACCCACCTGCGCTAGGACCTGCGCAGTCGAGCGCCGTACGCGGGGATGAAGGAGTCCTGGAGGGTTGAGCCGATCGTCGCTGGGGTATATAGTGGCGAGAGGCAACACGCCCTCTTTGGTCCGGATTTCAAGCTAAACGGTGGCCCTATCTGCTAGCCACAGATAGGGAAATGGCCAAGCGCCCCGTCAGAGGGTCGCAGGCGAGGGATGTGGGGGCTGCCTAGTCTTCCTGAAAAGGGGGCTGGGTGGTGGTAAAGGCCATGCTGACGGAGCAAGTGACAGTTTATTCGGGTGGTAGGGATGGGCCTTGTCAGCCCCATCTACCAGCTGGATCGAGCTCCCGATGTCGCGCTGTGAGCCAACTTCGCGTCCCTATATTCTCCCGGTAATCCTAACACCTGAAATTCCTAAAGTAGGGCATTCCCAAAGGTGCGGGCTCCATGGAGGGTGGGAAGCCGGGGGGATGAATTTTAAAAAACACAAATTATGGACAATTTAAGGCCCAATAAGAAAGAGGGAGAGGTGTCAGAGGTGCTTACCAGAGACACCAAAGAACAAAAGGGAACCGTCACTAAACCGACGGTTCCACGGACAGTACCGTCCAGCGTAGGTGCCCCCACCAAAGGGATAACCTCGCTGAACGTTTCCAAAACCAGTTCCAAGGAGCTGGAAGAGAAAAAGAAACAAGAGCCCGGAAGTGATAAAACTGCGGAGCCACTACGGACTGACGACCTTTTCTCTGCTGCCTGGCAAGTGGTGAGCCGTAAGGGGAAAGGCAAGGCACCCAAAAAGGTGACTTGCCGACCTGACGGACCATCAGGAGGGTCTATCCCTGCAGGCAGTAGTGGAAAGGCCAAAAAGAAGAACAAGAAGCAGCGGGAAAAAGGCCGTAGAGAACGAGCCGCATTGGCTGCTTCAGATACCAAAACCAAGGAGGCTGGGCAAGCTACTGCGACGGAGGTGCTTGGCGCTGGAACCAGTAGCCGCGCTGAAGCTGGGAAGGATAAAAATCCAGCCCAAGTGGAAGTCGCGGACGCGGGAACCAGCTCTAGGATATCCGCCAGGAAGCAGCGAGCGGCCAAGCGTCCTGGGAAGAAGGAAAGAGCAGCCAAAAGGATGCTGGAAGAGTCCACCTCGCCTAGAGGTGAACACAAAAAAGTGCGACTCGAACAGCAACCAAAGACTGCAAGAACGAGCTACGCTTCCGCTGCTAAAGCAGATTTGGGTGTGGCCTTAACGTGTGCGCGTTCAGGTCACATTACGAAGGAAGTAGCAGACGACATCCTCGTAGCAATACAGAGGAAGATGATCAGCGAGGCCTGGAGTAGCCAGGACCCTGATGCGTCGGGCCCAGTTTTTAGGGGCAAACCCGTTTATACGGAAGGTGTCCTGAAACTGTGGTGCGACGATCAGAAGGCTCTGGACTGGTTGAAGGGGAACATTGCTACCCTCGACCTTAAATCCAGCACCTTGCTGACAATAAAGAAACAGTCAGAGATACCACAAAGAGTCAAATGTGGTATCCTTATCCCTGATGCCCAGGGGGCCTGGAAAGACTCACGCGACATTGGTCGCGTGTTGGCGTACCAGAACCGCTGGGTTAACATCAGGGACTGGCTGTTACTCAAGGCAGATAAGCAGACGGACGGGTGGTTCCTCGTTGTATCGGTGCCGGAGGATCATATCCCGACCCTGATGAAGGCCGGACGCCGTCTCGCATGTGTATGCGGGGCGGTATACGTAAAATTCCAGGGTCGTGGAGGCAAATTCTTTGATACTCCACCGAGCAAAGAGGTAGAAAACAACCCGGAAGTTATGGATACCGGAGCCATAGTTACCGGTACAGCGGAATCACTGGAGGCCAAGTCCAGTGAAGAAACGGCCTGCACAATTGAGCCGAAGCCCCCAGTGGAGATTGGGCTCAGCGGCAGCTCACTGAGTGACGAGGAGGACTGCATTTTGCCGACCACCTCCGACTCGGTGGCTGACGATGAAACCCGAGATCTTCTGGCAGGCCTATTTTTGGGCGGGGACGGGGAGGACGCGATCAATGATGGCGTGCCCTTCGTCCAAAACTAGCCTAGTGCAGGCCAACCTCCACCACAGCGAAACTGCGTCGGCTCAATTACGCAAGTGGTTGGAGGTTCAAAGGACTGCCATAGCCTTAATCCAGGAGCCATGGGTTGGGTCTGGTAAAATTAAAGGCCTAAACAACCTAAAAGGTAAGTTATTCTACAGCTCTGAACACGACAAGCCTAGAGCGTGTATTTACACTACTAAAGATATCTGTGCACAACCTTTAACAGATTTCTGTTCTAGAGACATGTATGCCGTAGCAATACAGTACACACAGGAGAGTAGATTAGTCGTCGCCTCGGTCTACATGCCGGAGGAAGACACTCCTCCCCCTCATGACCTCAGCAGGCTGGTGAACTTCTGCGAGAGGACCGGACTAGAGGTTGTGATCGGGACGGACTCCAACGCACATCATCCCCTTTGGGGAATGGAAAAACCAAATGAACGAGGTAAAGTTTTAGTTGAATATTTATTTAGTACTAACCTAACCATTTTAAACATAGGTTCTGAACCTACTTTCATAAACAAACGCTGTCGCACTATAATCGACCTCACACTTGCAACAGAAGGAGCAGCCAAACTAATTACGGGATGGCATGTGTCGAGAGAGGCCTCATGCTCAGACCATAGATGGATCTGCTTCGCACTACAGGTCGATATCCCCTCTACACCACCATGGAGAAATCCCCGCAAGACAGATAAAACTAAATACCTAAATAGGCTGACGTCTTTGCTAGCGGATTTTGAGGGGATAAATACTATAGCAGATCAGTCGCTCCTAGAAGAACAGGTAGCAGCTGTTACTAAGGCCATGATAGACAGCTACCATGAATCATGTCCAGAAATCACTCCACCAAGACATGCCGAGGTAAAACAACCGTGGTGGGGTAAAGAACTCGATAGAAAACGTAAGAAGGTAAGAAAAGCTCTAAATAGGGCCATGAATACCTCAATGGATGAAGACTGGCTATTATATAAGAAAGCTAAGTCTGAATACAAAAAATGTATCAGGTATCGACGCTCGATTGGGTGGCGTAAATTCTGTGGCAACATAGAAACCTGCAAACAAGCAAATAGGATTAGGAATATTCTAGCTAAACAGAACACGTCGGGATCCATGTCTCTAAAGAAACCCGACGGTAGCTACTCAACATCGCCGGATGAAGCCCAACGCATCCTAATTGAAACGCACTTCCCAGGTTGCTGCGTAACCCAGGAGGCAAACCGGCATGACGACATACTGACATCAACAGCAGAAGACTGGAATTTAGCACAGAGAGTGGTAACGATGGACAAAATCCATTGGGCCATTCACAGTTTCCTCCCCTATAAGGCGGCAGGACCCGACGGCATATTCCCGGCACTCCTACAGTGGGGGGATAAAGCCCTAATAGTCAGACTTGCTGCCATAATGCGAGCCTGTCTTGCTCTTAAATATGTTCCTAGGGGATGGAGGGAAGTGAAAGTTACATTCATACCCAAACCAGGTAAGAGCGACTACACTGACCCTAAATCCTACAGGCCCATTAGCCTCACATCCTTTCTCCTAAAGACGATGGAGAGGATGTGTGAAAGGGAATTAAGGGGGTCGGCGCTAATGAACTTACCACTACACGACAAGCAACACGCCAACAGTCTAGGCAAATCAACAGAATCGGCCCTTCATAAGGTAATTACAAAGATTGAAGAGGCCATCCAAAACAAAGAAATATGTCTAGGTTCCTTCATAGATATAGAAGGTGCTTTTGACCGAACGAACTTCTCCAGCATAAAAGGTGCACTCGGTAGACACAAAGTTGAACCGGCACTGATCGACTGGATAGTTTACATGCTCAGTACACGAATAATAAAGATTGCTGGTGAATCTCAACCAATCCAAATTAAGAAAGGCTGCCCGCAGGGTGGGGTTCTCTCACCTCTCCTGTGGAATATGGTCATTAATGAACTCATCAGCAAATTAAATGACAATCACTTCTATACAGTAGGTTATGCTGATGACCTGACAATACTGGTCTCTGGAAAGACAGCAAGCATAGTGTGCGACCTGACCCAAGCGGCTCTCCGTATAGTGGAGAGATGGTGCAGGGAACACGACTTAACCGTCAATCCAAATAAAACGGTTTTAGTTATGTTCACACAAAAACGAAAGCTGAATAACTATCATCCTCCAAGTCTTTTTAGCACAAAACTCCAGCTATCCTCTGAGGTAAAATATTTAGGTCTTACCTTGGACAGCAAACTTAACTGGAATAAACACATAGAAAACAAAATCAACAAAGCTAGTATAACTTTCTGGCAATGCAGAAACATGATTGGCAAAAGATGGGGATTGACGCCAAAAATCATACTGTGGCTTTACAAAACTGTAATTCGGCCCATGATCACATACGGCGCTCTGGTATGGTGGACCAAGACAAATGAAGCCACCATAATTAAAAAGCTTCAGCGCTACCAGAGACTGGCATGTATGGCTGCTACAGGCTGCATGAGAACTACGCCAACAGCAGCCTTAGAAGCGATGCTGGAGCTAACTCCGCTTCATCTACATATACAACAAGAAGCGACTTTAGCTGCCATCAGACTCAAGACCCTAAATCTTTGGAGTAAGAATAGTGTCCCTCATACAGGCATAATTGATAGAATTCACTCAAAAATTCCTATCCTACAAGCCAAATACGATAGGATTCCTAAACAATTTGTTTTCGATAAGAAATACAAGATACAGTTAAATGAAAACAGTCAGCCGGAAGGATTAAGCCCAAAAGAGCTTAGAATTTTCACCGATGGTTCTAAAACAAATGAAGGTGTAGGTTGTGGAGCTTTCTCTGAAGACCTCAATATTCACATATGCACACCGCTGGGTACCTATAACACGGTCTTTCAGGCGGAATGTATGGGTATCATTCAAGCGGCCATAGCAATAGATGCTAGGAAGGTTAATGACTTCCCCATCAGAATACTGACCGACAGTAGGGCGGTACTCCAAGCCCTGAGATGCAATGTGGTGAACTCGGGACTAATATATGAATGCCATCAACGATTAAATGAGGTATGTAAAAACAACAATGTGACCCTGCAATGGATAAAGGGACACAGTGGATCCAGAGGCAACGATGCAGCAGACGAACTGGCCAGAAGAGGATCGGCTTTGGCCACTATAGGGCCGGAACCAATCATACCAATCCCCTTTGGTAACGTTTGTTCACTGGTACGTAGACACTTCACTAATCAACACGCTCAGCTTTGGAAAAATCTAGTAGACTGTAGACAAGCTAGGGATGCCCTGCCTGAAATTAACAGTCGCTTAACAAAAGTTTTAATGAGACTGAACAAGCCGCAGATTAGGATAGTAACAAGTGCTATCACAGGACACGGCACCTTTAACAAACATTTATTTACTATAGGTGTTACAGATAGTCCCCTGTGCAGGGCATGTATGGGGGAGGAAGAAACGGCGGCCCACGTGCTACTGAAATGTCCGGAGGTCGCTACATACAGGGCTAAACATCTCGGCACGCCGGGATCACTCCCCGAAGTTGCATGCAACATCAAGGGCCTGTTGAGCTTCTTCGGAGAGATCTCATGGCTCGAATAATCACATTATTCCTGCCCACACGCAAAATACGCGCATAGACGTGGAGTTGCGGAAAACAGCCCGTCGTAAACTAAACTAAACTAAACTAACTAAAACGCCTTTAAATTTTGGAAACGCCTTAGTTCCGACCTGGTTGTTATCCAAATTGATCCGAAGTAGTCCCAATGAGGTTGCCGTCACACGTCAAAGTAGGTCACGCGTACCGTTTCTGATCACGTAGAATGTTGTGACGTCCTGTGATGTTCCGGCAAGTTTTATCGTGGCTTTAAATGATCCTAACAGCTTCAGCGGTGTTGCACTCCCGTAAGCTATGAACGTTTTGTCAGGATTCGAATCTTGATTGGTAACTTGAGCGTTATTTTTCTTCATTCTTTCCCAGGTTTGGTCTGTTATAAGGTTGTGCTTGCAGCCTGAATCTATCAACATCTCCACGTCGGTTCCACCTATGTTACATGTGACCTTTGCGTCGTTCTCTATATTGAAAATGTAGTCGACTTTTCTTTCATCCGTGATTATGTTTGCAGTTTCCTCGATATTGTTTGTTGTCCTGCTTTTCTTCTTTATTCTCTGACTGTTCGATGATTCTCCTCCTTCAAATTTCCTCTTCTGAGTTTGTCTTGTCCTGCATTGATCTCTGAAGTGTCCTAAGATGCCACATTTAAGGCAAGCCTTTCCTTTTGCTGGGCAGTTGTTGTCGCGGGCCAAATGTCTGGAAGTTGCAGACATTTGGCCCGTGACAACTACTACATTCCAATCTTCTTTTTTTTTTTGCTTCTCCTTCCATGTCTCAATACCTATTCTGTTAATTGCCTGACTTTCTACAGGTTTCGTACTAAAGTTTCCTAATTGACGATCTATGGCTTCCAATGCATTCGCTTCCGCAATTATTTCATCTAAAGTGATCTTATCTCCTGTTTTTAATATCTTCTTTCGGAGTTCTTCTGCTTTAACCTTTTCCGTTATTTGGTCTATGATATGTTCGTCTTCTTTTCCACCAAACTGACATTTCTTTGCCTGCAGTCGAAGTCTGATAAGAAATTTCTCGAACTTTTCATCCTGTTCCTGTTTTATGAGACGAAACAGGTGTCGCTCATACACTTTACTCTGTTTAGGTGCAAAGTAGTTGTCTAATTTTTCGATCGCGATGTTAAAAAGTTCGCCTTCAGTTGCATTAGCTCCTGGGATGTTATAGAAAACTTCTTGTAACTCGGGACCACCAAAATGTAAAAGGCTAGCTCTTTTCTTTGCCTCGGAGTCTATGCCTGCTGCTTCGAGGTAAATGTTTAGACTTCTTTTCCATCTTTCCCAACGGACAGAGACTGAACCAACCTCCCCGTCACATTCGAACTTCTCTAAGGTGTACAGTGCCATTTGGGGCTACCTGTTGACAAAGTAGTAACAATGTTGCATATTATAGATTTTATAACACGCTATTGCAATCTAGTGCTAGTACTAAAGCGTCTACTGTACTTGACTGTACCTATGCTATAGGTACCCGTATCTACACCCGTAGTACACATTCAGCGCTCATGACGACACATACTCGCCATACTGTGCAGTACTGTGGCACTGGCACGTGAGTATTACCCAGCGCGCAGCCGCCAAGCAGCGAATGGGTGCTCCAAGTGTTAACATAAAATTTGAACCCGTGTAAACTTCGCAATTTAATGCTATGTAGGTATGTACGCAATTTAATGCTATACCGGTAATCTCCGCAATTTAATGCTTTTATTATCTATCTCATACCGCAATTAAATGCTCAGTCGCAATTGAATGCCCTGCTGCAATTTAATGAGGAAGGTAGGTTGACAAATATGTAGGTATGTCACTCCCCTGATGTACACCCATAGAAACCTAGATACCTAAAACGCGAACGGAGGATACCTACGCAACTCACGGCCAAGTGAGTACCTAGTTATTTCACTTTTCTTTCTATGTTCCTTAGTCAAAATGTTATATACAGTCAACATCAGTTAGTAATAACGATGATAACCTTAAATACACTTTTATTTTATAGGAAAGTAACTAATTAATAATGTGGATCAATTCACTAACTTCAGAATATTGAAAGGTAAAAGAAAAATGTTTATTCTGTGCAACAAAACACACTGTAAAGATTAAAATTGGAATTACCCTAATTACTTGTCGTATTCAACACAGACACCTCAAGTACAATCTGTACTATTTATATTCTGTAGTCTATGTTTTCAATGGCATGAAAACTTGTATTATCTATTATCAAAGCAACAATTAAGTTATTAACAATTTAAAACTACAAAACGCCGCATATAGGTAGTTTAAAAAACCACTGTATTATTTTTCCAATCTCCTAATTATAAAGACAATAAAGCCGTCCCATCTGCGTAGGAACAGGTCGTTGCTCAGCAAAATCGCTGTGACTTCGAACGAACCTATAGTATACAGCAATACTTATAGTAACTATTACCTACCTACACTAATTAACGAAACTCGTGAGGTTCTGTGGTTAATTTTACCTAATAAAATCTTGTACAGCTATATGGGTTATAAATACTGAGACTCAAACTCAAGAAGGTAGGTAACTTATAGGATGCTCACATAATAATCACTTGATTAAAGCTTGGTAGTTTTATTTAACGATTGTAGTCGGATTTATGTATTTTGTAATGTAACGTATGTTTATCTCTCTTTTCTTTTATTATTAAAGGTAATAATTCTTAAAATACTCACCGTTTATCTCGTCGCCACATGTAATGTACTGTAGATCCCAGGCATCAATATTTAGAAAGAACAAGTAACACTATTGTAAGTAGTATATATTACAAGTAACACTATTATTATACACTGATATCGGCTCGTAGTAAGCGTCCACGTCTTTTCCCTGCGGCGGTCGGTCGGGCAGTGCCGCCCCGCCCCGCGATACCGCGCGTGCGCTTCTCGAGACGACAGAGTTATACACCACTATAAATGTCTATACGCTACATGCGTTATAGAGAAGCTTCTCTTCTGCCTAAAATCACATCTGTGTTGATACTATCCTCAAACCAATTTCTGCCGCCAAGTAGCAGAATATTTCAGATTGAAATATAAAAGACGATGTATAATTATTACATGTTTTAAGATATTTTATCTTAGTAGCTGACAGTGCACCTTTAGATATCTTTATTTGCAGTTGATGGAAGAAGTCCACAGGCTGCAGTAGCTATTTACTTGAAGTGAACGGGAACCTGTAGTGAACGGAAGGTTTGGGTTAGAAATTCATTTTGTTCATTTGTAACTCTTACCAAATTAGTAAGTGTGTCCATATTTACGGGGAAGTTTCAGAGTAAGTAATGTGGCGAAACAATTAATAAAAGTCTGAAACATTAAGTACTTTTTATCTTTCAAATTCAAAATACGTGATAAGGCATTATTTAAACTGATTGCATTCATAAGTATCTATATCTAACGCCTACTATTTTACTACGCACTTATATATAAATATCTCACACACACATTCGTAAGGGTCACTCGGTCACAAATTAAGGTACCTTGTCGCGCATCTTCCCAGGAGCGTGTACGCATAGTTGTTGCTCATACATCACATTCAAATTGGGATAATTTTAAATAAAAGTAGAAGCCTTATTTACTCGTGTTTTCAATAGCTGCAATAACGGTATATCATTATTTATATATTTGAACTCAAATATAAAATTTGGATAGTCTTTTAAAAATAACCCTGTATAATGGCAGGCTTACCTTAAACTTCGCTTATTGTTTCGAGTTTGCTACTCGAGATGAATCCTCTCGATTTCGTATTCAATCATTGCATCAAGTATTACGCTGGAGACAAGCCAAGTATTTGAATGAAGCGTCTTTTTATTGAGCGACCATCCTCCGCCTTTAGGTGTCTCTTACTAACGTTACCGTATAAGTAATTCCTATGAATACCAGCGTAAAATGATAGCTTTATACTGCTGTCTTTCGTATAGTGAGTGTAGAGAATCATTCAATCTTTGACCTCAGGGGTGACAATGAATCTGTATTTTGGTTGGCTACAGCATACTCTTACCTTTTATTGGACTGTGCGCTCGTTTATCACCATTATTCTATTATATAAAAATGAATCGCTGAATGTGTTGCTAAGCGCATATCTCGAGAGCAGCTGAACCGATTTCGCTAATTCTTTTTTTATAATATTCCTTGAAGTACGAAGATGGTTCTTACGCAGAGAAAAAATTAAAAAATTGCCTGACAAAGTATAAAAACAGCACTTTTATATATTCCCATATAAAAGATTCGTAATAATACTTAAACGTCAATTTGAACTTTAATACCATACCATGAAGATTAAGTGTTAGTGGAGGGGTTCCGGGAAGGCAAAACAACTATAATTTTTATTTTTTGTCATATTGTAATTGTTGACTTATCAACTTTCTTTTTTCTATTTTTATTTTACTAGCTGACCCGGTGTCCCTAATAGAAAAAAGTAAAGAATCGACTGTTAGGCGGTACGAAGTCCGCCGGGTCAGCTAGTTCTATTATAAAACAGAATCTTCATCAGAAAGGTTATTTAGGTTGGACAATGGAAATTACGATGAACAATATAATGGATAAATTTATAACGCTACTCGAAGCTTGATACGTTTTACGAGTAGGTCAATGGGGTTTCATTGACCTAATTTCCTTACACCCTCCGGGGACAACTAATTTCATCGGCAGAACTTCACTAATGACACATGTAAATTGATTTGGTGCTGTTTTAAACAAACGTTCTTTTAAACTCAATGAAATTATAATAATAAGATAAATTATATTCATCAAAATACTTACCCAAAAACCCGGACAAATATTTCTTGGATATTTAAAACTTCATTCATTCATTAATTACTCCGTGTGGTAGTTCAAGACTTAAATTAACCAGAGTAGTTCGGAAACTTTGATAGCTTGGTTAAGGCTTTGGTTCATTACGTTTGTGGCGTGACTATGCTATGCTTTGTGCGGTAGCGCTGTGCCACGGCACATAGCATAGGGGAGCATGA